GCGCTCACCAAAGAGACAGAGAGAAAGCGAAAAATCACTCCGAGGGGGCATGGCCACACCACAGTCTTTTCTCCTCCTTTGTCCTCTCGGGATGGCAGGCATGCACGCACAGGTGCAAGAGCCGCCAGGTCTGAGACTCAAATCGAGGTCAATTATGTGTGAGTCCAGTGACGTAACCATTGCTCTGGAGACTGGAAGCCCAAGATCCAACCAACAGCTAGCTCTGTCTATGTAGACCTGAATCCTGGTTCTTGGTGTCTTGTTTCTGCTGTGTCATTGTGGCCAGGAGGTGAGGCGTTCTCAGGGTCCTCGTTTATGAGGCACTAATGCCAACATGGGGACTCTGCCCTCACGACCTCGTCACCGTCCAAAGGCCCTCCCTCTGTACCATCACCCCAAGGTTAGGATTGACGTCTGCGTTTTGCAGGGATGAAACATTCCATCCTCAGCAGGCCCGACATCGACATCGTACTTGCGTCGCTAGCCCTCAGGTGAAGCTGGTCCAGGGAGCACTCTGAGTAGCAGGAATCCGTAGGGCGCATTGTGTAACTGCAATAGGTGTAGTAGCGAGGAACAGAGCTCCCTCCTGGGCAGGGGAGACCAGTACCTGCCAGTACACCCTGGAGGGACAAGAGGCCCTGGGTAGCAGTTAAAAAGCCGAGATCTAGACACCTGTTAAAAAATCCCCATGGGCCACCCGTGGTGTGGGGATCCAAGCAGCTTGATCCCATGTGGCTGACTGTGTGGTTCGAGTCCCAGACCAAGTGGCTCAAAACCCACACCAAGCACGTTCTGTCCTCTTCTCAGAGGAGAATGAGAAGGGGTGCAGCGTCGCTATCCCTCCTAGGAGGTGCTTTCTCACCCCTACTCTGTCTCTGTCTGGTGAATGGACGTACCTATGGCTAATTAAAAATAAATTATTTGAGGGCTGGCAGGTAGCATGGTGGTTAAAGGCGCTGGACTCCCACATGGTCAACCATAATTCTAGTCCCAGACCTGGTGGCTTGCTTTCTCACTTCCTCTCTATCTCTCTGTCCCTCTCTGGTCAGAAAGAAAGAAAGAAAGAAAGAAAGAAAGAAAGAAAGAAAGAAAGAAAGAAAGAAAGGAAGGAAGGAAGGAAGGAAGGAAGGAAGGAAGGAAGGAAGGAAAGAAAGAGAATTGTTTCCAGGTCAAGTCCTGTTGCCTAATGGATCCACAGTTCAAATCCCAGCCTCAGAGCTTTCAAGACATGCTGAGCGTCTGTGCATGCCCCAACCAGGACAAGGGAAATGGAGGAGGGACTGCCGCAGGGCCATGTCCCATTGGGCAGGGCTTTCTCCTCCCTCCTCTCTCTCTCTCTCTGGTGAGTGCCATGCCCTCTGGCAATTAAAGAAATATGTTTTTTTTTTCTTTTAAAATTACGCCTGGGGCCAGCAGGTGGTGTGGTGGTTAAGGTGCTGGACTACCACATGGTCAACTGCAGTTCAAGTCCCAGGCCTGACAGCTTGAGAAGCATGCCAAGCACATGTGTGTGCCCAAAACCCTGAGGGGGGCTGGGGGAGAAGGGACTGAGGGATTGTGGCATGGCCATGCCCCTGGGGTGTGATTTCTCACTTCCCTCTCTCCATCTCTCTCTGTAACTCACTCTCTCTGGCAAGCACATGTCCCCTATGGCAAAACAATTATTCCCGGAGACAGCAGGTGGTCTGGCGGTTAAGGCACTGGACTCCCATGTGGCCGGGCACAGTCCGAGTCCTGACCTGGTGGCACACTTTCTCACTTTCCCCCTCTATCACTCTGGTCAAATTAAAAATAATAATTCTTAAAAAAAAAAAAAAAAGGACTCGTGTGTTGTGCGAAAGTGCCCGCTCCCAGGCTCCTGTGCCGGGAATGTAGCCCTCACATCTCTGATGCACAGAGCCCAGGCAGGCCGCAGTCGTTGGATGCCACCTGCCCGGCTCCCACATTAATAAGAAGTGACAGGAGGAGAGCCACCGCTGTGTCCCCGCATGGAAGAGGGACTTAGGAGCCTGTGTACTGGGCCAAGGGCCAAGGGCTAACGGGTTCAATCCCACAGATCCTCTCCCCTGAGAGCTGGCAGGCTTTCCGTCGCTGTTACCATCTATCAGACGATGGGAGTCAAATGAAGTGTGCTGCTGAGGACGGGCAGCCCGGGCCAGCACGCTCAGTGCAGGGAGGTCACGTTTCTCTCACAGCGCGTGGTCCCTCGACATCAGTGACCCCGGCGGGCCAAGCTGCTCGCTCATGGGTTTATGCTTGGAACAGGGAACTGTTCATACTGACGCTTTTGCTCGTTGTTATAAATGGCTCATTTGCTCATCTATAACATAACCCATCAAAGGCTTACCATCCTTACCACTGATGTTCATGAAACAGGGACAAGATGAAAGGAATGAACGTGACACTGAGGACACACGCACCACAGTCGGCGTTGCAGAGCTGTCCCCATCACTCTAGTCAATCTTCGGGGCTGCAGACCTCATCCGTGTCTGGCTTAATAGAAAACAGCTGACTTGACTTCACCCTTCCCTTCTTGCTGTAAAACATGCACACACGCACACACACATGCACACTTTGTTACACTTTGGCACGCACAATTTGTTACAGGGCACATGCACTTGCTGGAGTAGGTGAGAAAGCACCCCCGGGGAATGGCCACGCAGCAGTCTCTTCTCCATGCTCTGCTTGGGAACTCACACACCCAGTGTGACTGCCAAGCTGCCAGGCCGGGGTTTGAAACCACCTGGTGGGCCATGGGGGACCAGATGCCTTGGCCACCCCGACTGGCCCTCCTGCCGTGCCTTTATCTCTGCGTGTGTATAGACAGACGGATAGATAAAGCACACTCAGGAGTGTTGGAGCTATTTGGAGACTTGTAAAAGGCTGTATTTTCCTCTGAGGACCTGCTTTGTTCACTTACAACAATCACGCTGCTAAGGGTTGTCCCCGCTGTTGCACGTCAGTGAGGTCCCCTCATTCCGAAGGCTGAGTAACCTTCCAGGACTGGGTGACCACCCACAGCTCAGTGATCCACTTCCCATGGCGGGGTATGCTGGGCATCCCCAGACCTCACTGTGGGGAACGGGGTCGCTCTGAACACAGTGCCCTCCATGGTCTCACGTTGCCATGCCCCATCTGGCTTGCTGCATCCTGGGAACAGGAGGGCGAGGCGGTAAGGAGCGCAAGGTCCCTTGCCTCTTACTGCAGTAATGCTGAGCACTTAGAGCCAAAATGCTTTGCACCCTGGTCAAAACACGTGGACGTGTGTCTCCACGCCCAGCAGGGGTGGCAGCAGCCTCCGGCCTTCGCTGATTCAGTACCTCGCAGACACAGCAGAGGTGCTGAGATGCCACTGTCACCATGACCAGGGGACGCCATCGGCACCTGGTGCGCATGCAAAGGTCTGATGGCTCAGTGGGAGGGCACTGGCTCTGTGGGTGCTCCTGGGATTTTCTGCAGAAGGTAAAACTGGTACAGCCACTTCGGAGAAGTTTGTTGTAACCTCTTTAAAGTCCCTTCCTCTGATTACACCAAGAGCTGACACCTGTTAAAATTCATTCCTGGCCAGTAATTTCAAGAAGAGGTGCTGTCCTTCACCATTTCATGACCCAGGTCAAAAGAGAACAATGTGGCCCTGCGTCAGGACACTGCCTCGCTGTCTATGGCATGTGTGCTTGGTCCCATGAGTCTGGTCCTGCCTCCTCTCTGTCTTCCACACCCACCAGGAATGACCCACTCCTTACTGGCTCTGCATCTGTCACTCCTCTCACCTGAGCGGGAGCCGTGTGTTGGCACATCAGCAAGGTAAGCTCGCCCAGCAGCTGCGGTTTAAAAAGAACAGGTACTGGAAGGGCCAGTAGGTGGTGTGGTTCAGGCGGCTCCATCCCACATGACCAACTGGGCAGTTTGAGTCCTAGACCCAGCAGCCTGAAGACCACACCAGGTGCCCGTGTGTGTGCCCAGGATTGCCAGAGAAGAGTGGAGAGGGGATGGCTGCATAGCTGGGGGCTGTGTGTGGGAAGTTCTCCTTTTCCCTCTCTCTCTGTCCCACATAAGCACGGGAGACTTAGCAAGTCATCCCCCAGGGAAACAGCAGATAGCGCTTGTCAGACAGAGCACCTGAATATGTAGAAGTTGTTCAAATTAATTTGAAAACAAATTGTACCGGTGAAAAAGACTTTTGCAAAAACCGGTTTATTCCTGAGCAAAGTCGAATATTGCAGAACAGTACGAGATGGCCTTTCCAATGTGCTGTCCTGGTTCATCAACTGCAGGACGCGGCCCTGGTTAAAGACCTGTCCTGATGGGCCGGCGAGAGTACTGGCGTGCCCGGGCCCGAGCGGACGCCGGGTTCCCATGGACCTTCCCGGCCTTCGCTGCTCCAGTCCACCCGTCATTAGGAGCCCGAAAGTCTCCCGGCCGCCCCGACTGCACGCCAGCTCCCCGGACCTCGCGGAAACAGGTACCGCCGTGTGCGCGCCGGGCTCCCCAGGGTTTAGAAGTTTCCCGGGGCTTCAGTAGAGCCAGGGGGACCGCTGCCCTGGACAGCCCGCGAGGAGCCCACCACCCACCCGGCCCCGCCCCTCACGAGGACACGCCCACGGAGAGCCAGCGCCCACCTAGGCCCCGCCCCTCACAAGGACACGCCCACGAGAGAATCGACGCCCACCTGCCCCCGCCCACACGAGGACACGCCCACCTAGGCCCCTCCTTCAAGCTCCGCCTCTCTAGGCCCCGCCTCGCCCTCTCGATTCGCTGAAATCCCGGAAACCAAGGAAACGAAAGGCGCGCAGCGCCGTGCTCCCTTAGGCCCCGCCCCTGGGTCGGGCCCCACCCACGAAGACGTCATCTCGGCGCGCCGCCGCCGGAAGTGCGGTGGCGGCGCGGCTAGGTGGGCGCTGCCGGGTCCCGGCGTGAGACGGGGAATCGGGATGCCGCGCGGGGCCCGGGCGTGAGCGGTGGGCCGGCTGGCGGCCGTGG